GGGGCTGATCTGTCTTTGCCAGTGGTGCGTTTGTTTGGAAGCTGCTATTTTTGGCCTGTGAGCTTCTGAGTCTTTTGTAGGAGCAGAAAGAGGAAGTGAACAGTGAAATCCCTTTAATAGCATATTTCCTGGTTGAAGTGACTTATCTGTGAGGCCTAGACAGAGGCAACGTCATTTCCTGGATTACTTCTCTTCAGTCTGAACAGTCTGTTTTACTGTGTAATCTTTTGACCCAGCTTCTTAATTGTAGTGAATTTTTGTGTTAAGTAATGTAAACTAGGTCTTTCAATGAAAATGTAAAGCTTTAAGGAAACAACTTTTGACAAAATGCTAATGTGCAAGACAAGTCTTTCATAAACTACCTGTTGATATGAACTTATGAACGTCAAATTTTGTTCAAAAGCTTTTTTTTTAAAAAAACCCCACTTGTCTTTGAGGGAGTAGGATAATAAAGCTTGTTCACAGGGTTAAAAAAAAATTGACACTTTCTGTTCCTTGTGGTGATGATACTAATCACCTCTCTGACACCACCTGTAGCTGGCTGTCTTCAAGAGTTAGGACACTTCCAAATAGTTAATAATAGTTAATAAGAGTCAGTTGCACTTTCTCAAATTACCATTCATTAATAGCTACTGGTGAAAATTGTTACCAGGAGTCCATGAAAAAGAGGCAGAAAGAGCTAATAAAAAAATTAGCAGTAAATATGGTTCTCAGTTTTTATAGCCCACAAAAAAGCTGTGGAATCAGAATGACACAGGCAAAAAACCAGTGACATCTAAAATTTTAATACACAGCTCTGTTTAAATTGGAAATTACAGTTGGTTTGGATCTTGTAATCCAACTTCACAAAAATTTTTGTTCAGGTTGATAACTTTATTCTTTTCCCTGACATTTTGCATAAGGTGGAAGTCAAACACACTATATATGAGTTTCTTGGTTGACCACTAAAATACCTTTGCATGAAAAGCATTATAATATCAGGCGACTTCTCCAAAATACAAAGAACAGAAGTATGCCTGGCTGATTTGTGTTAGCACAGAGTGCTTTTACATCTCCCTTAAAATGTCTGCCCAGTCGTTAGTGATCATGAGAATATTGTGGCAGTGAAAGAAGAATGCTGGAGTTCGGTGGTGTGTGTAGACTGCCGGCAAATTGGAATTGATACTTTACTGAGCTAGGTAAAATCCTAAAAGGTGGCCCAGCTGTTCTCCACTGGGGCCTTCAGCATGGTCCTTCTCTACATTTTGCAAAACGAGGATCCGTATTTCTGCTGGCACACTGTGCTCCAGAATGAGATATCCTTTTTGGAAGGTGGTGCTTGCTAAATAAAGAGTAGTATGGATTATGTTGTTTTGCAGAAAATCACCTGAAGTCAGTACTTTCCATTGGATTTGTCTGGGTTATTGGGCAATACCTGCGCAGTTCATGAAGTGATTAATCCATAATTATTTAAAAACTTCGTTACTTTGATTTGGTTTTATTTTATCTTCTGTAAAAATGTTGTCAAAATTAAGAATAGGTAGTAAGTCTTCTGTCCCTCTGAAAGATGAGTATGATGTCCTGGTGCATCACTCCTTTATTTGTAATGAGTCTTGCAGGAACAGTTATGATCAAGCTGAAATAATTCTTATAATTATTATTATGAAAGCAACTACTGTACCTTCTTTATTGATTTTATTGACTGGATTAGGAACTGGCTGGAGGGCCGGGCCCAGAGAGTGGTGGTGAACGGGGCTGCATCCAGTTGGCAGCTGGTCACTAGTGGTGTCCCCAGGGATCAGTGTTGGGCCCAGTCCTGTTTAATATCTTTATCGATGATTTAGATGAGGGGATTGAGTCCACCATCAGAAAATTTGCAGATGACACTAAGTTGGGGGGAGTGTTGATCAGCTGGAAGGCAGGAGGGCTCTGCAGAGGGACCCAGACAGACTGGAGAGTTGGGCTGATTCCAACGGGATGAGGTTCAACAAAGCCAAGTGCCTGATCCTCCACTTTGGCCACAACAACCCCCTGCAGCGCTACAGGCTGGGCACAGAGTGGCTGGAGAGCAGCCAGGCAGAAAGGGACCTGAGAGTTTGGATTGACAGGAGGCATGAACGGTGAGCCAGCAGTGTGCCCAGGTTTGGCGCAAGCAGGCCAATGGCATCCTGGCCTGGATCAGGAAGCAGTGTGGCCGAACAGATCAGGGAAGAGGATTCTCCCCTGTACTCAGCACTGGTGAGGCCCAGCACCTGGAGTGCTGTGTCCAGTTCTGGGCCCCTCAGTTCAGGAAGGATATTGAGGTGCTGGAGCAGGTCCAGAGAGAAGCAACAAGGCTGGTGCAAGGGAGCTCGAGCCACTAAGTCCCATGAGGAGAGGCTGAGGGAGCTGGGGTTGTTCAGCCTGGAGAAGAGGAGGCTCAGGGGAGACCTCATCACTCTCTACAACTCCCTGAAAGGAGGTTGTAGCCAGGTGGGGGTTGGTCTCTTCTCCCAGGCAGCTACCAGTAAGATAAGAGGGCAGGGACTTAATCTCTGCCAGGGGAGGTTTAGGTTGGATATTAGGAAGAAATTTTTTACAGAGAAGGTAATCAGGCATTGGAATGGGCTGCCCAGGGAAGTGGTGGATTCTCTGTCCCTGGAGATTTTTAAGGTGAGACTGGATGCGGCTCTCAGTGCCATGGTCTGGTAACTACGGTGGTGTTGGATCAACGGTTGGACTTGATGATCTTGGAGGTCCTTTCCAACCCAGCTGATTCTATGATATGACTTCCCTTTTTGTTTATTAACACTGTTTTATGTTTCTTTCTGTTAGGAAATTCTAAAACTCTATGTAACAGTTTATGTTACATAGATTCAAGAATAAGATTCCACCTTTTTTCTGAGCAGCAGTGGAAATATTATCGGTGTTACATCACAGAATGTTTGCAGTTTGCAAGAACTTCTTGAGATCGTCTAGTACAACACCCGTGCTCATTGCATGGTCAGCTAGAGTAGGTTGACCAAGACCAGGTCCAGTCAGGTTTAGAGTATCTCCGCTGGTGGGGACACCACAACCTCTCTGGGCAATTTGTTCCAGTGCTTGACCAAAGGAAAAAAGTTTAGTTTTCAGATAGAATTTCCTGTGTTCTACCTTGTGTCCATTGTCTCTTGTCCTGTCAGTGAGCACTGCCTTTTCTTCAGTCCCTCCCATCAGGTGCTTATACGCATTGATGAGCTCCCCTGCCCTGAGCATCTCAGCCATCTCAGGCTGATGAGTCCCAGCTCTCTGAGCCTTTCCTCTTTTGAGAAGTGCTCCAGTGCTTTAATCTTCATGGCCCATTGCTGGACTTGCTCCAGTAAATCCTTGCTTTTTATGATTTGGAGAGCCCAGGGATGGATGCTGCACTCCAGGTGTGACCTCATCAGTACTGAGCAGAGAGGAAGGATCATCTGTTCACTAGGACCGTCAGGTCCTTCTTTGCAAAGCTGCTCTCCAGCTTCTCAGGCTGCAGCCTATACCTGGTGCCTGGGGTTATTCCTTCCCTCAAAGCAAGACTTGGCTTTTCCCCTTACTGAACTTTGTGTTAATCTTCTCTGTCCAGGGGTGCACAGCTGGTGGCTGGACTTTGTGCCACTGATCACAGTCTCTTGGGCCTAGTCTTTCAGACAGCTTTTAATCATTTGTCTAACCTGTACTTTGTCAGTGTGTCTCTGACACTTTGTAAGACACTTTCATTTGTCAGGAGGTAAAAAGTAAATAAATAAATAAAATCTCTTAGTGTTGAGAATGATCTTAACCATAAATGTATTTTGTGGTGCAAAGTGACATCTCCACAGAGGTAGTCTTATTTGTGTATATGTGTATTTAGGACAAAGTGGCATTCAAAATAATCTTAGGCCTCACCTTTGACTCTCTCCAGATAGGTTTTTAGAATGAGTGATTTTAGTGATATTTTCAATAAATTATACCTTCTCAGATATTTTAAGAAAAAGGTATGAAATCAGCAGATTGTTAGCTATAGCCTCAGTTAAGAAGACTGAAAAGCTATCTAGTTCTGTTGGCTGCCTATAATAAACATGATATGGTCTCTGACTTAAATCTCTATGATGCCCTATCAAGGTTCAAAAACCTGAAGAAACAGTCTCAGAATTTTGTTCTTAGAGCGATGAATAAAACTACCAGTTCAGGCTGAACACTGGAGTTGCTGACAATGAATGATATCTGTGCCTCCTCTTACTATCTGAAACTAATTTTTAGTTTTGTTTGTCCATGTGTAACTGGAAAAGTGTTTGTGTTTTAGAGTAATTTTTTTAAGTTTTCCCGACTTGCAGAAAGGTGGAATTGAGCTAAGTCTTGTAACAGGCATTTAAAATACTATTCTTAGTTTAGATTTGGTGATCTCATCCCTTGCCATTTTAAGAGGTCTCAATTGTTTTCTGCTGAGGCACTGATAATGGGTAGCAGAATGGTCTGTAGAGTTCTGGCTTGCCTTCTTGTGAGTCACTTAGAAAAAGTAATCTAGTCTTGTGAACCTGAATTACGTGGTGAATTGTCTTCTTAAGTTTAGGTCACATCTTGCTTCTAAGAAAAATGAACAGTTGGTTTTCAAATATCCAGAACAAGAAGGTAGACTGTGATCAGAGCAATAATATGGATAATACAAACATTTCCTGCAAATGTTTTTTGGCAGGAAATGTGTAACGAAATCCTTGTGAACGAAAATAGGAAAAATGGACTGACTGAACTCAGTATCTTAAATCAGTGTTTAATGAGTAAGATTAAAACTACTATTCCAGTTTAAGTCCCAGTGCCACTAATCAGTGGTAATATAGCTGTACTGTTTATAGAACTTGGAACCAGTCAGTGTGTGTTAGCTCCTCTGCTGGTTTATAAACATACTTGAGAGCTTGTTTGATTTGCCTACTAGGAATGTAATGCATGCTTGAATAATATATAATCAGTCTCAGTGTAGTAGTTTTAGTGAAGTTGTTAATTAAGATTTTAGAACTCAATTAACCTGTTTTTATTTTTTTTTTCAGGACGGCTTGAATTCTTTGGTCCTTGATCTGGATTATCCAGCACTGAGGAAGAACAAGAACATTGATAATTTCTTAAATAGATGTAAGTTGCAAGTGGCCCTTGAACAATGACATAGTTGTGATCTCAGTCATAGGAAGCTGAGTGGTCAGAAATGCTTTACTGATGGTCATTGTACTGATTTTTATAACTCTGAGCTTCTATATTCAGAAGGCTTTGGAGGACCATTTGTTACAGAAAGAAGTTTCATTTTGGGGAGTTATTATATTACTGAAAATAATGTTGAAAAATACAAGCTGTAGATTTTTGTTTTCTTAAATACAGTTGGAAAAATCCTTTTATGTTATTTTTTTTATCTTACGTATGTGTAGCTATATAATTTGCTAAGCATATCGCATATCCAAGTTATTATTCCTCAGGAATTCATTACACAAAATGTCAACATTGTTTATATAGTCATACTTGATCTAACCCACAGCCTTCTGTGGGTTTTTAAAACTAAAAACTAAAACTAAGGTTGTACCTTAAAATATGTTGGTGCATTTTTGCACCTTTGCATAGATGTGTGTGATTCTCCTCAAATTAATTGTAGACAGGATCTTGGAGTTCATTGAGCATATGGAAATGAAAGACTGTACATCAGAGTAGATGTATTTTGTCTTTTCAAAGCGATTTCTATCCATGTATATAAGCAGAATATTTTTCTTGTAAAAATAGTGAGCCATTTGTTTAAAATGTAAGTTGCAGTGAGTAGGCCTTCTTGGAACAGCTATGCTTTGTGGGAGCTTATTTTGAGATCCATATTTTTTTGAAAAGCTTTTTCTTTTGCATAAGTTAAGGTTCCTGCAGATGCAGTCTTATCAGCAACTCGTTTTTAGATTCTTTACTTGTAAGAGGTGTATTTCTGCTCTCTGTTGTCCTGGGACTCCTTGAAATATCCACTCATACTCCTCAGTTAAATGGTGACCTGTGTAGTAATTTGTGGTGAGTTCTTTTGTTTGGAATTCAGTGCTTCTCTGTGAGGTTTGGCAGAGCCCTGTAGATGAACATACAGCTTTACAGTTGCCAGTGAAGTCTCACTTGGAGAAATCACTTAAAATACAGTAAATAAGAAACAGCAGATTAGGAAGTAGAAGCATACTTTGGGATTATTCTCAGTTTGAGTTCAAAGGAATTCAAGCTGATATTTGTGAAAGAAAGGGTTTGAATCAGTATTTTAAGTATCTTTGTTACCTGCAACTAAGTGCTGTATGTGTAAAGTAAGGGGAAAACCCAGTGAAAATGACAGAAATAACATTTATCGGTAACTTCTATGAGCTGTTCAGATTCACTTTTACATTACTGTGGGAAAATAATTTAACCTTGTGAACAGGTTGGATTGGTTTGTTTGTTTGGTGTTTGTTTTGTGCAGCCCCTGAACATTCTTGCTGTCTGTCTGACCTTTTTTGAAGGCTGTTGCTTCTTCTCCTCCTCTAGGTTCCCTCCAGTCGTTATTTTAAATATTATTAAGTATCTGATGTGGCCTACAGACTACCAGCAATGGCAGAAACATGGAAATATACTTTCCTTCACAATTTTATTATTACCTTTTTTTGTTAAATGAGCTGACAGTATACAATTGAAATAGCCAAATACTAATTAAAAGAATTCTGAGACATGTTACCAAAAAATTCATAGTAGTTTTCAAAGAGTTTTCAAAGGTGTACTTCATCCTCACCTGTTGAACTTCAAAAAAAAAGCATGTAAGACCAGACTATTTTGGCTCATAGATCGTGTGTCAGTGCATCTCTCTTAAGAATCACCCATGTAACTTCTCTCAGGTTTCCATACTGCCTGGGAAAGAATGAAAAATAATGCTCCATATCTTCTGTGATTTACACTTAAAAAAATAATTCTGAACTGAGAATCTGGTAAACATTTGAGGATAGTAATTTATTGGCATTGCAGTGGAAAGAATCAGTCCTGGCAGTGATGTCTTTCAAAGTCCTTTCCAACACAGGTGTTTGTGTGGTTTGTTATGTACCAGATTGGGGAACTGAGCAGAATTAAAGCAAAGAGTGGGGCGGTTTGTTTTTTCTTTTTGTTAAAACTAGTCAGGCAAAAGAAAAGCAGACCAGTTTCTGATTTTCATTTCACTTTACTGATACTTTACCAGTACAAAACAAGCTGCTGGGGTGCAGGAAAAAATGGGGCAACAGCTGGGTTCTTATTGGCTTTGCGATTTTATGCCATATGAAGTTGCTGAACCCATAGCTCATGTCTTCCTGGAAACTGTTCTGAGGGTAGCAAGGATCAGTGGAAAGAGCATTACACAGGCTTGCTGAAGCCTCTTGCTACCTTGGGCTTGGAAGAAGAGTTGGGAATTGTGTTAGGAATTTATGGAACTGTAAGTTGTTGCTCTCTTAGGTTAGGGAACAGTGAGTTCTTGTCGCTTGTGATTTTTCTCAGCATCTGAAGAACTGTAGCAAATGCCTAGATGAGAACTGCTGTCAAAAGGTTCTGACAGACGCTGATGAGCAGTCTGTGCCAGGGGCCTGGAGCCTGCATCCTTCCTCAGGGCTTCCTGAAGGCAACCCCAGAGAGATGGCAGGGCCATCCCATGAGTTAGCAGTGGGGTGCACAGTAAAGCAGCTGAGGTGAAGTCATTGCGATTGTTTTAATCCATATTGCACAAGTCTTCAAAAGTTGTGGAGAATGCTAAATAATCATCACAGTTTCGGTCAGTTTAATCACTTAATTCTTCCACAATAACATTTTGAGAAAGAATTTTTTTTTTTCCTACCATATTCCCAGGGGTTTGTGTGCACCCTACTTCCAACCTACGTCAAGTCATTGCTATTAAGGTTAATGTTTTATTAATAGCTTATTTTAGTTTAAAAATGAAATAGTGTGCACCTCAACTGAGACATTGATTGATGTTCAGCTCAACTCATAGTTTCAAGCTGAAACTCGGATGTTTCAACTCATTTCACAAAGGCAGTTTATTAATTTCCCATACTATAGGAGTTTGATGTATCCTGTTTCTGTGACCACTTTGCTGAAGCAGCTTCTTCACTTGTTTAATATGCAAGAAATTCTTTCATTGCCTGCTTTCCCTTACTATTCTGATTTCTTACCACTTTCTCTGAGGTATTGACCCCAAGTGGAGCCTGTATTTGTTGTAAGAGGCACATTAAGTATCTTATATAATACAACCTTTCCTTTTCAGTCTTTTATGTTGTTTTAATCAACTGTTGGGATTCTGGATAAATTGCTGTGTTCTTTTAGAGTATTCATGGAAGGGAAAGCATAACACAATATTTAATTCCTGAAACAATGAGAGGAATCTCATAGTCCTCTGAGAGCAAAAACTAGTTTGCTTGTTTTAGAAAAGAAGGGTGAGTTTTCCAGCATGGACTTGGTGTAACAAATCTTTCTTGGTGGTTTCTTTTCCTCTTCTATCATCTAGACCAAGGCAATAGGTTGAGTAAATTCTTCTAAGTCACTTTTTCTGTCATCTGAGATTTGTCAAGTGTTGAATCATGTCTTGGTGGCTTGTGCCTTTTTTGGTAGTCTCCCTTTCAGGTGCTACTTAGCCTGTTGGCTGCTATAACTTCTGGGAGCAGAAAGTTAAATAATTAAATAACAGATTTAAGCAACAGTTGAAAATATTTGATCATTTATAATCTTATCATCAGGAATAGAAGGGCACAAAGAATGGATTTTGAGTAATCCAAGCAGCAGTGCAGGGAGTGGTGCCATCAACAGGCCTGGTACAATCCAGAAGTCTTGACTCCCTCAGTGGATCAGTGACTTCCTGTGCATTATCCAGCATCACTCAAGAACTAGAAACCTGTGTTGTTGAAATGATTTGCTGATATTTTGTAGGTTGGCAGACTTGCAGAGTGTAATGGCAATGGACGTATTTACAGTAGAAGGAACTTTTAGTGCAGATGTGACATTTGTGCAGCAGCTTTACTGACCCCCTGAATAAACTTCCTAGAAAGTTGCTTTGACCATTTTACTCTCCAAGCAGACACTGCTTACTTGGAAGTTTTATCTGCTAAGGGTAATTTCTTGCAAAATTAACAGTCCTGGTTCCTTTGCTTGCATTTCGTTGTGTCGCTTGAAGCTGCTGAATCACGTGCCAACCGTGCGGCCACCAACAGAAATGTGTTATCTGGTGTGGTGTGAGTGCCTGCCATGGCTGTAGCTCTTTGTGCTCCCTGCTTCCTGCCAGCCACACTGATGAAGTGTCACATGCCAAGAAGACTCTTAGAAATGTAGTGCACGGCAGAACTCACATTGAGTTAAGGAGCTAATCGCTACTCTGGTTTTCTCTTGGCTTCTCTTAGAGCACTCCTTGCCAGGTCTTTGCTGTTGCCTCAGCAGGTTGGACTCCAGTTCTGTTCTTAATGACATTGTTCTAGTAAGAGTAGGGATGGGAGACGTATCAAATAAACAACTTTCCCAAGAAGAGCACGGAAGCCATAGTGTTTAACACAGAATGTCTCAGATGTATAAACAAGTTATATGTCGGTGTTATTAACCACTTTTCCATTTAGGTACTCAGTAGATACAAAGCAATTCAGTCCTGCCATCAGGCTTATTTTCATTAAGGAATCTGTTCTCTGCAAGCTAGAGGGCTGCTGCTTTCTGTTTCCCAGTCTTCTGCTCTTTTTGTCTGTGCAAGTCAAAATACTTCGTGTCCACCTCTTTTCTCTGGGGCGTGGAAGCACTACCCCGTCTGAAGCTGTGCCTTCTAGGTTCTGCTGCTTCTGCAAGGTCTGCAACAGCTTCCTATTCTTCACACACCTTTGACCAGATATTATGTATGCACACCTAATGACTTCAGTCTTTCTGTTGTGCTTTCTGTTTGGTTTTGGTTGGGTGTGGGATTGCAGCACTTCCTGGCTGTACTTCAGTTTAACTTCTGGCTGGACTTGTGCCTAGGGCAGTAGCTTTTGACTTAAGGAGCTCCACAGCAGCACTCACTGACTGACTGTGCCTGACCTGTGGGGTAAAATTGCATCCCCTTGCATTTTTATTCATCATATATACACAACCCAGGACTGCTTGATGCACATTCTTTTATTTAAAGAAAA